AGCTTTAAAAGGATTATTAATGAATTTCATAGGGCCTTTAGAATTCTCTACCAATATGTTGACCTTAACATTTGTTGAAAAAAAACATATCAGACGCCATTAGACGATTTTTGCGATAAGTGTGAACAAATAAATAGATCATTTTTTATTTCTAAGAAAGTTTTAAAAAAAACAAAATCATATTTAGAATTAAAGAATCGTGTTTTGGGTTCGGATAATTTAGATTTGGAATTGATGAACCACTTTTTGGATTAGATATATTTTTTAATGTTATTTTTTTTTGAGAAGATTAAAAGTTTTTTAATAAAAGTAATATTTTTTATAAAACACAATAAAATTGTGGCGAGCAAAAAAAGGTCTTTTATAATGTTTAACTGATAATATCAAGAATTTACGAACCATTACTTTCATTTTGAATGAGTATATTTTTGGTTTTAAATTTCTTATGTGTTGATGCAAGGGTCTATTTCTTGATCCTTTCTTTTTATAGAATTGAATATATAGTATCCTTTGCTGAGATAACTTGTAAATCTTTGAATAATTTTCATAATTAATAATTTGCAAATTTTCGATTTTTTGTTAAATTTTTATTTATTTATTTATTTTTTTTGAAGAATTTTTAGAGAGATTTCAAAAAAGAAACATTAAGCGCCTTTGTAGAGGTCACTACTTTTACAAAGAGTCTACACGCATGCTGACTTAAACAAAGCATAATTTACTAACAGATTAATTATTTATACTCCAATAATATAATAGATTGTAAAAAAGTATTGTATTATTAAAAAAGGATACAAATTGCTATATTTATTTATAAATAATAAATAACAAATTTGATGAAGTACATTTTAATTAAATATTTACAATTCAAAGTTTTTTATAAATTATAAAGGTTTAATTTTCTTTATATTATTCAAAATCATAATTTTTTTTTACATACGATTGTTCTTTTTTAATTTTTCGAATTATCTCAATGAGGTTTACATTTATTTTTTCTTTATTAGAATTAGATGATTTGACTATTTTTATCTGTTCTTCAAGATAATTAATTAACACTTGTTGATCGGCTATCCTTTTCTTGTTGTCTATGCAATCCCCAATTTTATTCTTTAAAACTTGTAGTAAGGCTTTATTTAGGATTTTCAATTTCTTAAGGTCTACAGCCTCATTCTGAAAATTCAACTACACTTGATCTGCTTTATTTTGAAGGTTATTATACATTTTATCTTTTTGGACAATTTGCTGGCAAAGAAATTTTATTTCCTGTTTAAGAAGTAAATTTTCAGTTGTGATTCATTTATTTTCTTGTTTAATGAGCAAATTTTCATTTCTAATTTGTTTATTTTTTTGGTTTAGGAGTAATTTTCTTTCTGATTCATTTAATTTTTTGACTTTTTTTGTTTATATTTTTCTTGAGTCGTGCATTTACTTCTTTTAGTTTAGCAAGTTGCTGGATGGTATTTTCCTTCGACTTATTTTTGGATTCATCGTCTTCATCATCGTCCACTTTAATAATCAGTGTTGAATAATCATCATCAGTAGCATTGGTTTCTTCAACTTTAGAAGTATTATAAAAATTAAAAAAAATAAGAGCAAAAATATAAAAAATGTAGTAAAAAGTTTTGAGAATACAAATAGTGAAAATGATATCCATTTTGTGAATTAGATTCCCAGGAATAATTTTGCAAAATTTAAATACTTTCGTGTAAATTCGACTTTTGCACAGCCTCCTCTTAATTGCATATATGTTGTGCGTCAAATGCATTCTTGCGTCGGATTAGATCTGACGCACGTCAGATGCTGATTTCCATGTGACGCACGTCACCTGTCAATTGGCCATCTGACGTGCGTAAGTTCTAGTCTGACGCAAGATCTTCAAAATCTATAAATCTTTTTTTGTA